CCAAACCATTCTATGATTCTATGAAAAGAATGTGAAAACTGCAGGATGAGGGAGATCTATAAAAGTTGGACCTACGAGCCTTGTTTATTTTTTTAAATCAGCACTTGAGCTCAGTGTCTGTTACCTCTTGATTGGTCATGCCCCCATATGGCTTGTCACCAAACGACAGCACCTCCCACATGACAATTCCAAAGCTCCAGACATCACTGGCTGAGGTGAAAATCCGATGAGCAATGGCCTCTGGGGCTGTCCATCGGATGGGAATCTTACCACCCTGTGAAAGAGCAGAGACATAGTCTATCCAGCATGTATCATTGAGCTGCATTTCTCCAGTGCTTTCATGCAAGGAGCTTACAAAGTGGTTCAAAGACTGGGCCCACTTCACTTGAAGTGATGTGTAACCACCCCTGGGGAAATTTCTCAAAGGGAGAGAAACAGTCTTGGAAAGCAAATGAGTTTTAAGCTGTCTGTTCAGCTGAATGCTACACAAAACCACTGCTGTGGGAGCAAGAGCCCAATACCAGTCACAGCCCTACTTTGAATGACACTGGACATTAGAATCACTGAAACTTTCATTGAAAGGGACCTGTAGATGTCTGCAGTACAAACCCCTGATCACACCAGGGCTATCTTCAAAGTTACATTTAGTTAACCGAGCCCAAAAGATCAGACCTCTTTTTCACTCTTCATTTTAAAATCACAATCTCTCAGAAACTCTTAGCAAACAAAATCAACACAGACTTCAGACAGTAAAGTACCAGCTTCTGAATCATCCACACTGTGACTTGCAGTTTTACTACGGGCTTTCCTCAGAGACTTTCCATCCAAATCTTCCCTCAGCCTGGTGCTCCCTATTGTGAAGAAATTCTGCCATTCTCATCTGGCAGAATCCCAATCCCCCTGTCACAAGACTGAGAGATTGTTTTTGCATTACCTTGGTTTCATAGGTTCCCTCTGCATCATTCTCCAATATTCGGGAGAGACCAAAGTCAGACACTTTGCACTGAAGACTGCGTGTTACCAGGATGTTGCGAGCAGCCAGATCCCGGTGCACATAGTTGTGTTCTGAAAGGTAGGTCATGCCAGAGGCTATTCCCTGCAGCATGCTCACAAGCTGCACAGGGCTAAATTTTTCCTCATTCTCCTGAATGGAAGAAGAAGTGAGAGAAGATCCTGGTCAAGTGACATCAATCTGCTTGGTTTCTAGTTACTGGCCTTATCAACTTGTGAAAGCAGGCATTGGTGAACAAGCAAAAAGGCAATGCTCCAGCCCAAAGGACCTGACAGGTTCTCACTAAGGGACTGGTGGTGGTCTCCAGAGTCACCGTGAGGCCCCTGCATTTCAACTACCAAAGACAGTACTCTGGACATTGAGCAAACGGGATGGCATCAAGCTTCTGCTGCTGAGACTGGAAATGTTAGTGAGCAGAAAGTAAGTGGATGTCTGGATCTTATTTCTAGTCTTCTTTTAGGGTCCTAAATCCAGGTCAAGTGCAAGTCCTGGCAGTACACAGGCCTATTACAGATTGCAGTCTCTCACCCGGAGGAAGGTATCCAGCGCTCCATTCTCCATATACTCAGTGATGATCATCATTGGCCTCCCTTGAGGAAGACAAGAAGATGTCAGCCTTTTTGCAATTCTCCTACTCTTGCCTTTCAGTGCTCTCCACATTGCCCCAACACAGAGAACCATATCCAACCCCTGCTAACATCCCCACTCCACTGGCACTGCTGGCTGACCCTACTCCTAAGATGTCCTCCAACGATTCGGTATTCCTCTTTATGTCACACATACAACCTTACAGCATCCCTTACACTATCCCAACTTCTCATCCACTCACCAACCCAAGAAGACCTCTTCTAATACTGCCTCATGACTCTGTTGGAAATCCATACCCATCCTCATTCTCTGCCACAGGCTAACATGACAATGCCTGTCTTCTCCCAGCACAGCCTGACAGCATCCTCTCTAAGAAAGGCCCAAGAAATGCGCCAGTTTCTGCTCTCATTACAGGACTCCCTCCCACACTCTCTTACTTTTGGTGACAACTCCTTCCAAACGCACAATGTTCGGGTGATTGAACTGCCCCATAATTGTTGCTTCGCGCAGAAAGTTCCACCACTGTGAGTCTGAGTACGTTGACTTCAGGGTCTTGATGGCAACCACAATACGTTCTTTCCCTGGGAGCCGCAGGGACCCACGATAGACCTCCCCAAACTCCCCTGAGGACAACCAGAGGCAAAAGGTCACAGACAAACTCAGGAATAGGCAGCAAAATAACAGTGTATGGGAACTGAAAGATGGGGAGAGCGACAAGTAACTCACCCTCTCCAATCACATTCTCCATAGTGACACAAGAGACATCCAGCTCCTTAGTGAATTCCAGCACCCCTCTGCTGGGGTCATCATATGGTTGCAGGTCTACGTAGGGCTTCAACCAGACCTTCTCTATGGTAAAGGGAAACAAAAGAGCAAATTAACCTGTCAACTCTTTGGACAAGCTTTGTAGGGCAAAGCTACAGAAGCAGAGGTGAAGCTGTGGGATTCTGGCAATGGCAGTAAACAAATCTACCAAACACACTGAAGACTAGAGCTGTTTTGGAAAGAGGGAAATTACATCAGAAAATCCATGCCAGTGGCTGGTTTGAAACTACAGTTTCTTTTCATTCCTTCCAACCCATTCCAGGGTTCCCTGGTTCTACCACCCCTTTGAAGCTCACCTCGATCAAAACCTGAAGTATTGTAATCTGGTCGTGCTTGTCTCCGACGAGCCTGCCTGGAACATAAGAAACAGTCATGAAAATAAAATGGTCAGCAGATAGCAAAGAGAAAAGCAAGACTTCCAGGGTGTCTGTCCTAGTTGGTTAGGGACAGAGTTCAGGGTAGCACAGAGCAAAGTGGAACCAGACACTGCACCTACTTGGAAGAGTACAGCTAGCAAGAAAATGTGATGCTTCGTTTACATTTAGAAATGGAGCTTTGTTTCCATTTTCTTCATCCTTCTGCTTGATGAATTATAGATGAATTATAGATGAATTTCTATTTATTTTCTATTTTCTGTACATATTCAGTACAATACCTGATCCTCTTAAAACCAAACAATAGCAGCCTTATAGACATTTAGAAAGGAAGTAGAATTTTGTATCAGGGCAGAGGACCACTGAAGTAATGGGATATGGAAAATGGTTTTAAATTACTGGGTACATGTACTGCCCACATAACTGATCAACAGCTATAAAAATGATTGTACCACAACATTTTTATCCATCTGTCATGATAACAGTATGATAGTGCTGGCTTATAACAAAACTGAGAAATCACCACATTTTCCTCTGTTCTCAGCAGCAAGATTATCTTACAGGCATATAAATCCCTCCAATCCTGCTAATCAAAATTACTTACTGAGACTCATTCCATCTTGCGGCAGCACACTGGTCTTACTCTTTCTTCTCTAACTAACCTCTACTTATCCAATATCCTGTGAGAAATCGGGGCCACCCTCCCTCTCTCAGGCTCCCATAGCTTAGCTGTTCCTACATCTATACCTTTTCAATACCAAAAGTCAATACTTACTTTCGTCGAAAAATCAGAAGTCCCATAAGCAGCCCAATAAATAGTAGAACTCCGAAGATAATAGAGACTATGACTCCACCAGACAGAGCTCCCGTGTCTGCAGAAGCAAAGAGAGAGGCCTTGTCATTTAAAAGAACAAGAACTATTTGTCTGGAATGTAGCATCCAACTTCTACCAGCCAATGGTATTAGGTGAGCTATGGCCATCGGATTTGAGTCCTGTCATACTGTTATTCACATGCGTGGATCCCCTTCTGGTGGGTATCTGGCTGACTCTTATCTACAGTCTTGGTCTTCTAGTTGAGTAATTTATCCCTATGCCTGATTTCCTGCATAAATTCCATGATACTTTCAAAACACGAAGAACAGCTCTTCCTTCCCTCCCACTCCTCTCAAATACTCTTTCAGATCAGTCCCTTCTTCCTCCCCAGTAAGTGATTTAGACTATGGCACAGCCAAGACATGATTTTCCCCAGCAGTCTAACTTGACTGTCTTCTTGTTTATGAAATTAATTTCCCCTCCCCTTTCATCAATATCTGGGGTTGGGCCTTTGCCTAATTACCTTGACAGAAGCCACTGTCTGCTTAGGACTTTTGAAACACCCAAGTATTGACTTATGAACTTGCAGTCTAACATCATATTCCTGCTTTCTCAAAACTAAGCATGGGGTGGTTTCATTTTGTGATTGCCTAGTATTCAGATAGTTTTCACATAACACAGGTTGTCTTCTTCCATTTAGATTCTCAAGCTAAAGCCATCCATTTCCATAGAGTATATCTGAATTCATCAGAGGAAATTGTAAATGATTTCTGTTGGTGAAGTGTATGTTTTTAAACCTTATTTCCCATAACTTAAAAAACTATTTAAAAAAAATACATTAATGAAAGGTGTTAATATCCATATCTAATGAGAATCTAAATTTTTTAATATTTTGCTTAAAGAGATTTAGGAAAGCATCCAGAAAAAAAGAAAACTCCTAAATAAATTGTTTGAATAAATGAGCAGATTTTAAAGCAAGGAACAGCTTGTGTGACACAGATAACCATGTCTGGAAGTGTTTCCTAACATCCAGTCCAATGGTCAGCATCCGTAAAGCCTAATTAACACCTGTTATTCACGCTCAATTTGATGCTGAATCATCCCACTAAAATTATGAAAAATCACCAGCTTAGTTAAGCAGAAATCAAGAGGCAGAGCTAATGTTCTTTTTTTGTTGTTGTTGTTAAAATCAAAAAGTCGAGATTTGGAAGGTGAAATAATATTTTGTATTAAAAAAATAAACAAGCTTTTAGGTACACAGCACTTCTGCAGGAAATTAAGGGATCTAAATTCTCAAATTCAGATTTTAAAAGATTACCTCTCCCTGCAAAGTTTGTACCATTAATATCCCTAGACCATGACAGCTAAACAATGATTCTAGTATTGTCAAAGAACTCCCACCAAATGAAACATTGCTGGCACTTCTTTATAATCCCTTTCATACTCAAAATACCTTTGTCTTAGTATGATGAGGTGATCAACTTTTATTTAAAAAAAAGCAAAATCTTGATGGAAATATTTTCTAACATGTCTTTTTATAATCAAAGCCATCTAAGGTACATGTTAACTTACATATTTTCCACAGAAGCTTTGTGGTACATTGTTCTATTTGTTAAAGATCATTTATATTTACATTAAAGATCACCATCATTTGGCACTGCGATTTTACCAAAAGCTCCAGGTACCAAAAAAAGACCAATCTTTAAGTTCTGTTCCAATCATAGTATCACAACTCCTTATCAGCTTTTACACAGTCAACTTAAATATTTAGTTACATGAAGGTATAGAAAAAGAAAGCCTTTGCCTTCTTCCATGTCCTTATTTCATTACAATAAAACTAGCTTTTCAAAGGCATTATTTCAACAGACATATTTCTAAAATTATCTGTAGAGTCAACAGGAGGATCTCTGAATGTGTGGACTGAAGAGAGCACAAACCCCATTACAGAAAATTTTTTATAAAGGGGAAGTCTCTGGGTAACCCAGAGAAACAGGAGGCTGGATGTGAGGTCTGTATGAGATGTTCTTTGACATAGGAGAAAGGTCTTCCTTGTGGCCTCAATAGCTTGGCCTTCAACACTTTGTGCTCTGGTGGAGAACTTTCTTCAGCAGTACATACCATCTTTTTGGGCAGAGTTACATTCAGGGGCTGGACTACATACAATGGAAATGATAAAGCTGGAAAACATAGTAGTGAGGTCCTTTGAGTTCTCCTTTTCACTGTTAACTTTCACACAAAAGGAGGCATATGGTAATAATTTTGTTAACATTCAAACTTAGAAACATTAGCCAGAATCAAAATGTCTTTCAGGAGAACTAGATGAAGAGCTGGTTAAGTAATTTGCCAGTACAACACACAGTTGTGAATGGGAAAGTACAAGTGGATGTTATATGACAGCAAAGAAAATGTCTCTTTGTTCTACATTTTTACAAAGCAACAGGCTTGGCCATAGTGACAAGGAACTCGGGAGTGTGGTGTCTGTGCCCTACAGCTTGCAGAACACAAAAAGAGATCCGTGTACCATGTGAATATACAATCTGATAGAGAAGTGAGTTTTCTCCCAAATGAGATACCAGTGGTTGCACTTTTACCTGGTGGAAGGGTGCGAAATTCCTGATCTGGGGAGTAGGGCCCAGGCCCAAGTGGTGTGATGGATCTCACACGAAGCAGGTAGGCTGTGTCTGGCTGCAGGTCTGTCAGAGTGACATTTGGCTCAAGAAGGTGCTTCACAGTGTAACGTGCCTCCTCTCCCTGCAGAAATCAAACAGGGTTAATTAACAAAATCACACTGAACAATGAGGATGTTTCCACCTCTTTGGGTGAAAGGGGGAAGAACAAATAAAGCAGCACTCACCTTCTCAAAGAACATGACCTCATACTCCACTGAGGTCCGGCTGCGCTGCCGTGGGGCAAGCCAAGAAACAGAAAGACTACTGTCATCTCTTTGTGTCAGGATAAACTGGGACACTGTCACTGGAGCTGCAGGGGAGAAAACAGAGAAGATCAGGAAGAAACAGAAAAGTAATTCAGACTAGGCCCTCCCTCCACCAGCAGCTCCCCCTTTCCTTCTCTGGTCATACCATGCAACCAGAACTGACTCTCATGGCCACTTCCACCCCCTCATCTTTCTCTTCTGTAGTGAAAGAGAAACAAGGTCTCTGGTTGTATTTAATTGTTTTCCATGAATAGTAGGCTTTGACCCCAACAGTGGAGGTATAACTTTGGCCCTCAAAACAAAACCAGTGTTCCAAGAATTTACATTTAATCCAGCACTGCACTGAAAGTGTTAAACTTGAAATAAAAATGTTAGGATTTTATGCTGTTACAGCAGCGGTAACACAACTATCCCATGTAATTTATAAATGCAACTCCATTTCACAAGGGTACAGTGAAATTCAGTGTTCAAAATATCTCAGCTGACTGCAAATGCACATTGCTCATGAATAAAAAGATAATTCTCAACAGTGAGTCAAGCCTGGTTCTCTCCTTGTCCTTCATCATTACCAGGAAGTAATGAGGTGAGTCAAAAGTAGCTCTGCTTTTCTAGCTCAGAGTTGAGCTGCCCCCCCATAGCATCAGGAAGAGAAGTTGTATTTTGTCACTAACTCAGGACCTGGGGAAAGCACCAAGGGCTGCTGAGCACTGCGATGCCATTTTCTATAATCACATTTCACAGCACTCTGGAAAGTATTCACAGGACAGCCAAACTAGCCTGCTTGAAGCTAAACTACAGAACTGTGTCAAGAACTTGCATGTTTTTAGCATTCTCATTTCTCCATGCTTTCAAAGCTGCTTTTTTTTTCAGTTACAGCACGGTTCCTGTTGTGTTTGGTTGGGGTTTTTTTGCAGTATCCATGTCATGGAAAATATTTCATGCCACAGTCCCTGTTCTTCCTGTCACACAGGTAACAATACTTGGGCTGGACTACATTAGGGTGTGACAGGGAGGGCTTTATCCTCCTCACCTCTGCTAAGTCCTTGGTGGATTCATAGGTCTTGGTGGCTAATGATTACTGCTGCTTTGACTTGCAAGGAATATGACTGATGGACTTTACATGGCAGAGGTAGAGGTACCTTACAGTCCTTATCATACCATACCAACACATGTGGTAGACAGAAGGGGAAGATCGAGGAAACTTAAACATTCACAGAGATTCCTCTTCCTTTTCCTGATGAGCAGGAAGAACTGCTCTCTGCATCTGCTAACCTGCATGTCCAACGGCGACCCAGACAGCTGGAGCAGTTCTCTGTGGAGCAGGTCCCATCCCTGAGACACCATTATGGGCTTCCACAGCAAATGTGTAGTTGGTGTAAGCTTCTAGGCCATCCACATCCACAGCGGGTTTAGTGAGACCAGAAGCACTGGGGGAGAACACCACACCAGCCTCACATGGCTCACACGACAGGAAATGGCAGCGATGACAGAAGACTGTGTAAGTCACGTCCTTTCGTCCACCATGGTCACTGGGTGGCTGCCACCACAGACTCAGCTGCGTGCCAATGAGGGAGAAGCTGACATTGCGGGGAGCTGAGGGAGGTCCTACAAGAAGCATGAAAGAAAGTATTAGATTCCGCTGTTAATACCCAAAGTACTGTAGCAGTTTCCCATCTACTGATGCATTTCGAGTGGAATCCTCTGTCCCCTCAGCATCTCCCTCTCTGATCTCTCATCCTCATTTCCCAACATTTTGTTTCCTCCTACCTCACGGTTCATAGAATAACAGAATTATTTGGGTTGGAAGGGACTTAGAAAGATCACCTAGTCCAACCCTCTGCCATAGGCAGGTGTATCTTTCACTAGATCAGGTTGCTCAAGGTCCTGTCCAACCTGACCTTGAACATTTCCAAACATGTGGCATCCACTTCTCTGGACAACCTGCTCCAGTGTCTCACCACTCTCATCATAAAAAATGTCTTCCATATGTCTCATCTAAATCTACTCTCTTCCAGTGTAAAACCATTGCCCCTTGTCCTTTCACTACAGGCCCTGCTAAAAAGTCTTTCTCCATCTTTCTTATAGGTCCCTTTTATGTATTGAAAGGCCACCATAAGGCCTCCCCAGAGCCTTCTCTTCTCCAGGCTGAACAGCCCCAACTCTTTCAGCCTGTCCTCGTAGGAGAGGTGCTCCAGCCCTCGGATCATTTTTGTGGCCTCCTCTGGACCGACCCTAACAGGTCGATTTCTCTTTTGTACTGGGGACACCAGAGCTGGAGGCAGCACTGCAGGTGGGGTCTCACCAGAGCAGAACAGAGGGAGAGAGTCCCCTCCCTCGACCTGCTGGCCACGTGCTTCTGCTTTTTATGCCGCCCAGGACATGATTGGCCTTCTGGGCTGCGAAGGCACACAGCCAGCTCATGTCCAATTTTCTGCCTACCAGTATCCCTAAGTCCTTCTTTGCAGGGCTGCTCTCAGTAAGTTCATCCCCAGCCTGTATAGATATTGGTTCTTTCTTTCTGTCCCCAACTCACGGGTGCAAGCAATGTTCTGGCCCTCCGAAGGTGCTCGGTAGAAGCCTGCATTGCAGGAACAAGATGTAGCCCCTGACTCATTGGACAAGCTGTTAGGGGGGCACTTCAGGCAGTGTTTAGTCTCCAGGGAGTGACGGTAGAATCCTCGCTGGCAGGCTGTGAAAAGACAAACAAGTCAACATAAGATGAAAAATAAACCAAGATCAACAAGAAGCTTGCTAGTTTTGTTCAGCTTATGGAACGCTCCTTTATCTGCTTGCTTTTCTTCCATTTTCTTAGCTCACAGAAATATTTAGGTTGGAAGGGACCCTTGGGGGTCACCTAGATCAATCATCTTCTCAGAGTAGATAGAGAGGAGATGCAAACTCAGGGTGGCATCAATGTTATGACAGGACTTGTAGACTGAAGAAAAGGGATCTCATTCCTCACAGATGCTGTATGAAAACAAAACCTGGTCAGCCTCAGAGACTTCTTTCAACATAAACCCACACTGGTCCCCACCTTGCCCTTCAAGCTTTCCACACCATAAGTAAAAGCTGTAAAGTCCAAGTCCCTGTATTTGTCCGAGTCCTCGGTTTGCTGACTCCCTATGGGACAGACAGTGGGCTTTTTAGCAGAAGCATCATTTCTGATTTTAAGTGTTGTACCAGAGCATCATCTAGCAGGGCCCTGGGGAATATCTCGATAACCATCAGCACACCTAACAGGATTGAGTGTAACTGGCTATGGAGCCAACACAGACTGCAGCAGAATAGATGCCACGTGCTTTCTATTTCCAGTCCTACGAAAATAAGCAGCCACATCTTTTTCTAAGTATAACATCTGACACTCTATTTTTGCTGCATTACTATTAGCTTGATCTACAGGATCTACACTGGTCTCTCTACCAGTTATCTCAAGGTCAGTGCTTCACCTCTGCAGGTGTGTAGCAAGGAGAAAATGAGGGAGGTCAAAGTAACCTGTGAATCTAATGGTTTACCAGCCTGCGTTCAATGAATCTATCAAATGTTCTTAAACTAAAGAAACAACCAACCTATCACTAATCGGATAATTGAGGAATGCATACTCTAATTTTCTGCCATGGCTACCACCTCGTATTTGGCTTGAGCATTGAGGGAATGACCTTTTTCATATTGCACTGCAATAGCAAAAACGTCCTGTGTAATCCCTCAGATCCCAACGGAGAACAGCCCAAAGCCATCTGCTCAGAAGCCTGACACAAATGGCTTACTGAGGTGGAGCACAGCATAGGAAATGATCCTTTATCCAGAAGATAAAAAAAAAATCCAGCCATTCCTACTATGTGACACACAGGAACATCTGAGGGACCTAAAAAAATTTCTGATAACAAAGGCCAAACAAGACTCCTCACCATCAGTCTCAGGAAGAGTCCTTACCCTCACTGTCCATTGTGATCTCCCTCTAGATGTCACCAGAGAAGTGGCTTCATCTCATTCCTGTTGGTCCCCCTTCTTGCCCTGGGATGGCAAGTAAACTGTCCCATTAACACTGGATGATGTCAACTGGTCTACCAGTTGCATAATAATACCATCACACAACCATAGTGTTTGGGGATACTATGACAGTACACAGGCCAAAAGGTTTTGAGGTAGTTAAACCTGAAGAGCACAGAAAGAAGAAATAATCACAAGAGGTAGGAGCAACCAGTCCCTTCCGATTTCAGGAAATAAGAGAACGACTTAGGAATGAGTCAGTCATTCTGAACTACATACAACTATGTAGTCAATGACAGCAAAGGCTGTTGAAAGAATTAAGAGGCTCAAGTATTGATTGTCACCTGCCTAAAGAGATTTCATTTACATTCAAGGTCAAATAAGCTCCTTCAGAAATAGGCGAGACAAAGAAAAGCTACTTTGACCTGTCACTACAGAAAGCACTTCTCACACTGGAGTGAAGATGAAAGCTTTGGGGCCTCCTGCCATTTTGCTCCAGCCTAAGATTTTAAAATTCCTGACACTGGGTCAGTTTGGGTCACAAAAGCTTTGACAGAAACATGAAAAACAAACCAAGTGCAGGATCACAGACTGGTATAACACAGAGGTTCTGATGTTCCCTGGACAATACTACCTGCCATAAATACAGGATGACATATACACACTCTTATTGTCAGGCTGAGACAATAAGGTGAAAGGTTTGGGAACCTTTCTCAGAGTCACAGAATGGTTTGGGTTGGAAGGGACCTTTAAAGGCCATCCAGTTCCAACCCCCCTGCCATGAGCAGGGACACCTTCCACTAGACCAGGTTGCTCAGAGTTCTGTCCAACCTGGCCTTGAATGTTGCCAGGGATGGGGCTCCTACCACCTCTCTGGGGAACCTCTGCCAGAGTTTCATCACCCTCATTGTAAAAAATTTCATCCTTACATCTAGTCTAAATCTCCCCTCTTTTAGTTTAAAACTTGTCCTTATCATTACAGGCCCTGATAAAAAGTCTGTCCCCATCTTTATAGGCCCCCTTCAAGTATTGAAACACTACAGTAAAGTCTTCTCTTCTCCAGGCGGAACAGCCCCAGCTCTCTCAGCCTGTCCTCACAGCAGAGGTGTTCCCTCCCTCTGACCACTCCTGTGGCCCTTTGCAGGAACCGTTAGCTCTGACCCCAGGAGACCCTCTGTTAGGCCACTGTTCCTCCAGCCCCCAGCCCGCACCAGCCTTACTCAGTGGTGGTGCTGGGGCCTGCAGAGAGGGAACTGCTGGGGTGACATGGGACCAAAGGGACGAACCCAGGAGGTCACCGGGGAGGCAGCACCCCCGGCTCACATCCCCTCAGGAGGGAAGGAGGCACAGGCAGGAGCGGAG